AGCTTAAGTGGAGGTGGAACCTCCTCTATACATTTTTTTTTTTTTTCTTTTGAAATCTCCGGGCCTACAGCATATTATATGTCACAGGAAATATCGGTGTAACTGCATATTGTAATTTGCTTGCAGCACGTATTGTGGAACGTATCAATGAAGTGTTTGACAATGATAGCAATACAGGAAAAATCTTTTTTATGATCTAGCAGATTTTTTTATCAGGCTGTTTAAGTCTCTTACTATTTGTTGGTGGTATAATATCATAACAACAGCACTGTGTAACTAACGCTGCATCCAAAGTGAAAACATTGCTTATAATGTCTCCTGGCTTGTAAAATAAAATCTTGCCAGGAAAGGCCTCTTTACCTAAGAGACAGGCATTTACGTGATCAAGGACTTCCCTCCACATCCTCCCATCTCTGCCATCAATTGTGTAGTTGTGAATGATGGAGTCTACAAATGGAAATGTCAGGCAGAAAGTGTTTATGCAATTTTGAAAATAATGTAGATACTGTAGTTGAATCTCAGAGAGATAAGATTACACTGTATGTGTCTGTTTTTGTGTCTGTGTGTATGAAAGAAAGAGCAAGAGGGAGATTACATTGCGTTAGAAAAAAGGAATGACAGTGTCTATAAGAGAGAGATAAAATTGTGTTTTCAGGGCCTCTGCATCAGAAAGATTTCATTGTGCAGGTGTGTGTGTGTGTAGCTGTCCTTATGCTAAAGAGAAGGTCTGTATGTGTTTAGAGGGAGAGATGGGGGTGTATTTGCATTGAAGGCATGCAGTGTGTTAGAGAATGTTATGCATGTGTGTGCATGCATGTGAGTAAGAAGAGAGCCTATACTGTGCATGAAGCATTCAGGAAATTCATACAATGTAACTCTGTTGCAATTTTGTTTACAAAGGAAACTACTGTCAGAGTTTTAGAAACATTTTTCTGAAATTCTGTATTTCCTAGAGCATCTTATACTTTTTCATTCAAAGCAAATTTAGTAGCTCCTATTAAACTATTTGTTGGAGAGGCAAAGCTGTATCTAGGGAAATATGAATTATAAATTTCTGCCTGAAAAAAAGCCAGTTGGAATAAATGTTCATTTCATTGATGAACAGCACTTGGAGTAAACAGAAAAAGCCAAAATTATCAGAACTTGCATTTTGCCCAGAGCAAATTTTAATGTCACTTGTTGGGTATTTCATGATAAATCTATTCAAAAGAGTAAGTTACCAAAAAACATCTTTCCTTCCAGGAAAAATGAGCATGTAGTGGTGATTCAGAAGCTGGGAGTTGTGATATATACCTGCATTTTTAAACAGAATACATTATATCCTTTTTCACAAGTAATTTGTGAATCTAAACTACCTGATAAATGCACTTCTTTTTTTTCAATACAGAAAGTAGTCATGTGAATGGTGCATTTATCTTCATTGAGAAGAGGTAACATTTTGCATAGGCCAGAAAAAAAGTATGGCTGAGATATATGATGGAGAATTAAGATGCGCCATAAAGAGGATATGGACTTCTATCGTCTTCTCCTTTACTTGGACTTCCCCTGCATCTTGACAGCAATGCCTCTGCTTCCCTGTGTCTGAATCATGGCCAGCTCTCAGTACCAGACACTATCTGTACAGCTCTGCTGGGGCACATGGCCCCTTTGGATGTGCCCACACTGTGTTCTGCTTCCATGGACACAGGCTGAGTCTGTGAGGCACTGTGGCACTGGGACACACAAAGCTGAGCCCACTTTCTGTGGCCTGCAGTTTAGGCACTTTAGCTATTTTCACCTTACTCAGGAATAAAGTTGAAGTGGACCACTGCTAAATGCTTAAAATGCTTTAATCTGACCTTGGCTTTGTCTTGTAGCTGATTTAGGCTAGGTTTGTGTTTCTGTGGTTTTATACTGCATGCATACATGTAAGAGGAGGTCTCCCTATCCTCTCCTGTTTACAATCCCCATGGGAACTGTATACTACAAACTACCTCACATAGTAAGTAGGGGAAAGCTGAGTGGTCAGAACTTGCTTCTGCTAATCTGAATGCAGCATCTGCATGTAGGCTGGTGTTCTTCACAACTGTGATTCATGTGCCCATCACTTCCATGTCATGGCAACCTTAGAAAAAGCTGTTGGACTGCCAGGACTGACTTTTTAGACAAGCAATTGGCATCCTTTGCATCTCCTAACAAGAGATGCATCTCTTAACATCTCTTCTAACAAGAGGAAGAAAATCTGCCTTAAAGTGTATAGAGACCTTTCAGCCCTGCAAAGACCTTTACAAGAAGCAGGAATAAGGTGCTAGGGGGCAGAAAGGGATATTTGTGTTCAGTCACCAGTGGTTCTTGTCTCCCTGGGATGGAGTCCAAACCTTACTGCCAGCAGCCTTTTACTATCAATAGCCATAAATCCATGAACTCCTTGTTATTAACTGACATCTCTCCATGTCATTCTGTGGGACCCTTATTGCAATTCACCAATGGTTAACTTCTGCCTGTAAGTTTTCCTTCTTGGTCTACAGCAATCTCACTTCTGGCTGCGAGTTTGATGGCAGGGTAAAGGCATGAAGAAGGGTGAGACTCAATATGGAAGAGAAGGATGCAAAGACAGAGCCCTTTCTTCTGTTTCAGCACTAACCCAAGTGGAAACCGTCCTGCAGCCATGCAGGTTAGCCATTAAACATCTGCACCACTTTGTGCTATTGCATGTTGAAACTTTCCCTATCTCTCATGCTCAAGTAAGATGATATGCAGACATCTACTCAAACAGTTAACCCTCTCTGTGCTCCTTCCCCAAGAGAACTAGGCTGTCTAACTCGGGACCGTGCAGGTTTCAGGGTTGTGGAATGTGGCTCTGTTATGCTAAGACAACACCTGCACATCTTGTCTTGGTGGCCGTGTGTCTCTGCACAGTAACACCCAACACATCCTCCCCTTCACACTGTCATACACTTTGCTGGTTTTCTTGTGTGCTCTCATGTTTATGTGCACTGCCAGGTTTGCCACCTGTCAGCCCTTCTTGTGATTCTTCTTACATTTTCTCCTTTTTTGCAAAGCCACAGCTCCTAGGGTCACGTGGTTGCATGAAAGTTCTGGCTGTCATTTAAAAAGAGGTGCGGATTTGTAGCTTTCTTGGTTGTGGAAAAAGCTTGTAAATGTAGTGCCATAATGGATTAAAAGAAACAAAATGAAAAGACACTCTTTTGTGTTTAGTTGCTTGATTTCTATGTCAATTTAATGATCTTTTTTGGGGGGTGCACAGCTCAGGTTTTTATTTATGCAGTGTAGACTTTAGTACACCTTTGTATGCATGTGTATTTTCTCAGCTGTATATATAAAAATATACATGCATTTGGTGTAGATATACATGTGTACACCCACACCTGCCAACTGCACATATTCCCTTCTCACAGAAACCTTCTCTCCTACTCTGCCTTTCTTCCACACATTTCCCTTTCTGCAGCTTATGTCCACCACCTTCCTCTGAGTTATGGAATCCCCACTATTGCTTGTACCGAGTAACCTTCTCCCCCACTCTCCCTCCCTCCTCTCCTTCACTCCAGGAAAGCTCTTTCTGATTCTCTTTTCACTGGTGTCTGGCATTCATACCTCTGTAGACAGAGAATGGCAAGAAGACAGTGACGTGAGCAGACAGAATAACCGGGGAATAAAAAGGAGTTGGTTGAGAATCTGTAATTAGAAGCCAAATTTCCATTTCCTTCTCAGGCACTTTAGAATCCCTTTCAGGGGTTTCATGACTGTCTCAAAATTGAATGTCATTGAGATTTTTTTTATTATTATTCTTTTAATTTTTTTTTTTTATTTTGCATCCTCCTGTTTCCTTGGCAACAAGTTGGTGATGCAGGAGCTAGAAATGTGCTATGTCTCCGTGGAGATGTTGGCGTGGGTGTGCCATGGTGACATCCACGATGGACGCACAGCTCTGCCAGTCCTACCCCACCCCTTGTGATAAGCACCATGGGCCAAACCTCAGAGGTGACTCTTATTTTTAGCTTCATAGGTGTTAATCTGCTCTCTTTTCATGACGACGGGTCCAGACATCTCATTAGTTACATCAGCACAAATTGACTGACTTGAAGAGGGCTGTTAGGGCCAAGCCTTTAGGTTTCTTTTCAGGAACTTAACTCAGAAGAAATTACACTCCTGTCATGGATTGTACCCATTGCAATGGTTTGAATCCTTTTCATTCTCTTAGGGAAGAAAGTTACCAGTCATTAATGAATAGGACTGTGAATCAGAGAGCCTATGTTTTATTTTATTCTAAATGATGTTTCACTCTTTCATACCTCAAGGGCTGCTCATTTGGAATGCAAGGAAGCTGCTGTCACTCTTGACCTGGGACATGGGAGATTAAATTTCACTGAGGTGTTTAGCTGGGAGGTTCCAAAGCAAATTACTTGTATACTTCCATAAGACAAAACTGTCTCATCTGAAGAGTCTGTTGTTCAGATGGCTTAGCCCTTGTCTGGGTATGCCCAAATGACTCACTATGATTTTCTCTCCCCCTCTGCTCCAGCACACTCAATATCTTTACAATATATTTTATACTGTGTGTATAGCCTGTTGAACATTCTTATTCTGCATTTTGTCTTCATCAATGCTCTGGCTACAAGCCAAGACCCAAACTCTCCTTTGACATAACTTTTGATAACATACAATAGTGGAGTAAGGGCTAGCCTCAACCTCATCAAATATCCAGAGGTTCTGCTGCTTTTTTTTGTCTTGTTTCATTTTCTAGGAGGCTTTATGACATCACACAGAGATTGTGATGTCAACAAGGAACCCTCTGGATAGGCTTTTGAGAGGTTGCTATGGATCTCCTTACTGCCAAATGACTGTAACTTTATCCCAATGGGATTTGCAATAGGGCTCATCCATGCAGCAATAAAGCCAAGTATCAAATTCTTCTTGCCAGAAAGACCAATTAAAGGATTAAATGTGAAAAGCTAAAACCCATAACAACCACAGTGACAGGGTTTTCTTTTCCTTTTTAGACTGTAATCATCTTTGCAGCATATTGTTCTGGGGTCAGCATCCTCAGGGATACATTGGTGTAGCAAATGACGGAAAGAAGCTGGAGAGGAAAACCAAAGTGAATCCAGCCAAGGCAAGATAAGCTTCTCTTCCAGCCATGCTGGCAGATTTCTTTTGCCTTCTTCCCTACACTTCTTATATGTTTTGCGCACAGACTGAGTTTATTCAGCTTCCAAGATGTGTTCTTTTTCAAAAGGTGTTTTATTGTATGGAGCCAGAGGAAACATGAGGAGCAACCAGGCACCAATGGCACATTAAGAAGATGTGTCATTGACACAACATATCAATGAGAAGTAAATCCAGATTCTGTTTTTAAGGACATTATGTTCCAAGAGATGTACATAAATCTGACTAAAATGCCTTGCTCATTGGATCTGAATCTAGCATTTAGTCCTGATTGCCACTGAAATCCAGGTCAGATTTGTCTTTTTATTTGCACTTGTGTTAACAGATGAGAGGAGCTGACACATGTGTCTCACACCAGCATTGTATCTAATGTTGTCTAAAGGAGGTCTGCCTCAAGGAACCAGCAGCCCTTAGGTGTGATATGATAAGATGCAGCACGCTGTAATGGAGACATTTCCACTAAGTTTGGTGGGGGAAAAGGCTGCATGATTGCCTGCATGTTTGCTGGAAATGGAAGTGATACAGCAGTGCCCACAGGCCAAAACCTTTTATGTGAGGAATTACCTGGAATAAACAGTAAAGGTAATGGAAGCTGCTGTCGGAATACTCGGTAGAGGGACTGTGTCTAAATCATATGGCTAAAACTAAATAGAGAGAAAGATGAGCTCAAATACCTAGGCAGAACTGTCCTGTGGGACTTCCTTTTTTATTTAGTCTTTTTTTTTTTCTAAATTCACTAGCAAAAAGTATCTGCAGTCTGCAGAAAAAATTAAATAAAACACTGCAATGTTTATGTTTCCAGTCCAATAACTGTTACTGATTTTGCAGGAACAATCAGGTTTTTCCCCAAAGTAAAAGTCCTGTTCTTCCTCCCCATTTCCCATCTCTGGAGCTGTGGAAATGAACTCTACACTTACCAGGAGCACTGCAAGCAAGATCCTGCCAGATAAGATTCTTCTCCATTTTGAGTAGTTACAGGGAAATTTCAGAGCAGTTTTACCCACACCAAACAGCAAGAGATTCCCCATGTCTTTTGAAAAGAGGGTATGACATTAAATAAAGTTCAGTCCAGATTCTTCTGACACCTTTTTCTCCTGTGTCCTTCTTACACTTGTTAGCACTCCTTAGTGCTAAGGGACTGTGTGCACAGAATACTTGAGAGACCTCACCCTATCTCTTGTCCCCCAGAGATTACACAAGTATGCACCAAGTATGGGATCACTTTTGATTTCTCTTCTCTTCCCCTTCTTCCCCTGACTTGAGATTCAGCAGCTTCTGCAATGTGACAAGCTCCTGTCAGCTGTCAGGGCACTAAAATAAAGCTTTATCTTGTCTCCACAGCCCTGAATGACAGGGCTGGCAATAGGTGCACTTCAGCCAGGCAGCCGCTCCTGCCATATGCTCTTCCAACCTCACTGCATGCTAACACAGCAATCTGTAGCCTGGCAGATTTGCTGTTTTTCCTTGCAAGACCTACAAAAGGAAGCAACCCTGGTTCTGATCTCTTCCCATTGCAGTATCTTATTATGTTGGATTGCAATCCTATTTTCTTGCCTTCTTCTTCCAGCATTGGGTGAGAGTCAGAATCAGACTACCAGTCTAACACTGGAGAATGAGAATCCTGCTAATGCTTTTAAACTAGAATTGACTGAAAAAATGGCCTTGGGGCACACATCATAAATTGAGTTGAAGCCATGCACCATGAAGATGGAGGGGAAAAAAACCCAACCTATCTTCCTTTAGGGAGGGAGGACATTAGGTATTCACACTTCAAGCATGCCAACTAATCCTCCTTATTCCACAAGGCTAATTTCAAAATAACATTTATATGGCATGGTTTGCTGGGGAGGGCACTGATGAATCAGTTAGCTGCCCTTTATAATAAGCACAACTGGTTCCTAGACTGCTCTTTTCTACTGCCTTGTCTGCCAGTCATCTTTGTGCCACATGCTCCTTATTCAAAGGGCACCTGTTGAATAACCATGAAGCAAAGTGACAGAGCAGGGGCAATAAAAAAGGTGAAGCACAAATACATAGTGCAGTTTTAACCACTATATTTCTGTGGTCTTGCTGTAGGGAAATGGGGATTCTGCTGAATGTCTGTGCCAATGCTTGAATAGGAATGATAAGCCTGTAATTTACTTGCGTGGCTGTGTGACTGCTTCCTGCTGAGTAGGAAAGCCTAGATGGGTGTTTTGAGCCCTAACAGTGCTGCAGCTCAGAGCAGTTCTTTGCTACCACAGGCATCACCACATCATTGTCTGAATGAGCCCTACACTGCAGGTTTGGGTTAAATATCTCTGCCCAGTAACAGCTGGGAAGTCCAGAAATTGCAGAAGGAATATGTTTGCAGACAGCTGCTGTGGGAGTAGCTTCTGATGGGTCTGAAATGCTATTCATTGATTTGGAAACTCATCTGTGGAGAAACTTATATTAAAAGTGCACTACATTAGCAAAGAAACCTACCCAACATGCTGGTGATTCTGCTGACTCAGAATGCCAGTCTGTCCCTGTCATGAGGAAACTTCAATCACTATCTCATCCCACCCATGTCTGACAAGAAGACAGCAGTCGCAAAGATAGCTCACCCTCCAAGAGTTTCGTGAATATCATCTCTGGGTAGATAGCAGAGAAAGATTCAAATTAGTGAAGGAGAGGTAGGGAAAATGTAGTATTACTCACACCCTTTAGCAGCTTGAGAATAACCATCTCTGAGTAGACCAAAGGTCCATCTACTTCACTGTCTTTATTCAGGAGCCAAAACCAGGGATGGAGAGAAGCAACAAAAGAAACAGCAAAGATGATGCTCCCAGACACTCTTCCAGCCTGTCAGAGTTTTCATCTCTGATACTTTCTGGGGTAAAGAATGTCTGACCAATCAGCAGACAATTCTGAAACAGCCATAGCAAGTTCTGTTTCTCCCCTATGGATAGGCCAAAAGAAGTTATTTGGGGTTACATGAGTCAAATGAGGGAGCCATGCAGGTTCAAGGAAATGGCTGTGTCAGGGAGAGTTTATGGAAAGTACAGTAGAGGGGAAATATTAAGAGCATGGGGTAGAGTGGATACTGTGTACCACAGGGTCAACAAATAAGAGTTTTTCCACATATGGCTTCAAAAGAATCAGATTTGAGACATTTCAAAAAGTGTCTTCATCACATGAAGTAATGTTAATTACCTTAACCGTGGATATGTTTGTCAGACTAATAACAAAGATGAACTATGATGTATTTCAAAGGGACTTAAAGATCAGTGAGGATTTTGTTTTCTCTTTTAGGAATGTGGTAATTGAGAAACTGAAGTAAATTCATCAAAGTCCCAAAGCATGTTAGGAGCAGTAAATACATCGCTGCTGTGAAAAACAGATATGGAGCTATTTGAAATTTTAAAAGAAAGATGTTTCTAAACACTGCAGTGAAAGTATATAGCTTTTAAATAATATGAACTCTGGGCTAAGCATTAGAAAAATAGTGCTGTTTCCAGGGCATAAATGTGCATACACTGAGAAAATGTTGCTGTTGCTCAGCTTTATACATGTTCCTGTTAAAGAATTGTTACCTGAAATCTATGAAAATGTCTATTTGTTTCAGGAGATAATGTTGATTTACTTTAAGCTTCACTTAAGAGCAACAGAACACCAGGACCAGAAGAAGGCAGTAGAGTCTATTAGGTCCTTGACTGGGGTAGCTGAGGAGAGAACAGTGTGGCTGAGGTCAACGATTGTGTAACTGAATTGGGTTCATTTGGATATTGCAAAGAAATTTGAAAAACTGAAAGCAAGTGGTTCTGCATCCAAATTTCAAATCCACTTATAAACTAACATTTATCAAGGCATATTTTGGACTGTCTGAGTACCTCTAACTTTGATACTTCTATGGATTTACCTCCTAGAAAGAAGGAAGAAGGATCTTAGAAAGATAGAATCCACATCAGATCAAAAAATTTCCAGTGAATCAAAACAAATAAACAAATAAATCCAAACCAAAGCAAGCAAAAAAGCCACAACAAAATAAAGCAAACAAAACCCCCATGGGTTTTTGATTGGAATGCTTGGTTAGATTTTACAGAAATGCACAATTGCATTGGATATAATGAGAGAATTTTAAATCTTCAGTACTGTTACTGAATTTTGCTTTTGGGGGTTGAAAAGCGGAGTGTGACTACCAAGTGGAATTTCTGTCTGTACTTAATAGTATTTCAGGAGAGGGTAGAAAGATTTGCCATCTCCATTTGTAGAAACTGTGGTGAAATTCTCAGTATTAGGTGAAATTACATGTCCAGCACAAACAACTATGATATGTAGATTATCTCACTGCTACAAGAAAGACAGAAAGTATTATAGAATAGAATGCTGGAGGAAGTAAAAGTAAAATAGGATTTAAGATCAGTTTTAAATCAATGGAGATAAAACAAATGCTTCCTAAATTTGTTGTGTGTAGAGGAATAGGGCTTTAATGCTGAGCATGACATAATTTTTCGAAGTACAAAATTGTCCTTTAGTTTTCCTGGAATGTAACACCTGTGTACTTACACAGACAGGATCTGTTGATGTCCTGGGAAATAATGAGACAAATTTTGGGCCAGTGAGGTTGCACTGTGTGTGAAGAAGGTCTAATAAGAGCCTGCAGGAGTTTGATGAGATGGTAAAAAGGGAGATCCAACAAACTGCCATTTTCAGTGGGCACAGTATAATCAAAATTAAGTCAGACATAGTAGCTCAGCATCCTTTGGGAGACCATTTTGACTTCTTGGATGACTAAACATACAAAGGATGCAGATTTTGCCAAAGATCTAAGAATTAATAACCTTCACTGGCTTCCAAACAATACTAAATGAGCTTTGTGTTTCAGCAGCTTTACTCTCCCTGTTGGGCTGGTTTAGCCTATTAGATCCCAAGGGTTACAGGAAATGCTGGAAAACCTTGAGGGAATCATCATGCCTGAAGCCATGGCTTGGTAACTACTGAGCTTAATGCAAGAATGAAAATGGCCATGCTGCCATTTAAACATTTAACATTTTTAACATTCCTTGTTAATGGCTGACAGCTAAGCAGGGAAGGGCCTGGCCTGTGTCGTGTGCAACATGGAGATTATCTGACACTGTCGGGTTTTTACATTTTTGTGTTTCATGTTGCCTGAGGACTGAGTGTTTTGTTTTCTCTGATTTTTTTTGCTTTTAATCTTTTAGCTTTAAGAAGGAAATGAATGACATATAAAGTTTTAGGCAGAGTTCAGTGCTGTTCTTGAACAGAATCATAGAATGGTTTGGATTGGAAGGGATCTTAAAGATCATGTAGTTCCAAATCCCTGGCATGGGCAGAGACACCTTCTACTAGACCAGGTTGCTCCAAGCTCCATCAAACCTGCCACTGAACACTTCCAGGGTTGGAATGTCCCAAAATGTCTTTGGCCAATATCTTCCAGTGCCTCACCACCCACACAGTGAAGAATTTCTTCCTAGTACCCAAGATAAACCTACTCTCAGTTTGAAGCCATTCCCCCTTGTCCTGTCATTATTTCATGCCCTTGTTGAAAGTTCCTCTCCATCTTTCTTGCAGGCTCCCTTCAGGTACTGGAAAGCCACAACTATGTCACTCTGAAGCTTTTTCTCTTCCTGGCTGAGCAATCCCAACTCTCTCAGCCTGCCTTGTAGGAGAGGTGTTCTGTTGCTGCAACAATCTTGGTGACCCTCTCTGGGCTTGTTCGAACTGGCCAATGTCCCTCCTGTGCTGGGGACCCCAGAGCTGGGTGCAGCACTGCAGCTGGGCTCTCACAGAGAGGCAGAATCCCCTCCCTTGCCCTGCTGGCCACACTGCTTTGGATGCAGCCCAGGCAGTGCCAGTGTTATTTCTGAACTGTGACTAACTTTGAGAAAGCTGGACATATATAATTTGCTTTTCTAACTTTATAAAGACCTAACACAGATCTCTGACTTGAAAAGAACTCTGAAATGAGAAAGCTCACTATTACACTTCCCGAAGCAGATAAAATTGTATTCTCTTGTAGGTATTCTTAACAATAGAACCTTTCAATATATGATGATATGATACAGATAAGATTGTC